TTCGCCAAACACACCCTCGACGGACGACAAAAAGTACCGCTTCTCGATTGTTTTCGTTCTTCGCGCCCACGAACCTCTCATCATTGACTCTGATTCCTTTGAGACTGAAGTCACTGGCAAGTGGACTGAACCTATGAATGGTATTACTGCTGGTAGGTTCTACGAGAAGATCAGAGGCCAGCACTTCAACATCAATATCGATATGGATGAGAGGGAGAAACAGAGGAATAAGCTGAACGTCAAAGGCGGGAAGAAGCAAGACTGGGAAGGCAAGGAGGGTAAGGTTGCGAGTAGTGGTTAGATCTGATGCATCGACTTGTAACTCTTTCCGAACTACCTAGGAAAGAAAGATCCCTCCTACACTCAGCGACACGCAATCATCGTATCAGAGCATACTTGTGATGTATGCGTCTCCAGGGCTCCCGAGGTCTTGCTCAACGCTACTAGAGCCCAAGCTAGCTGTATTGAGCTTAGTGCTTTCGATACCCGCCTCCCACCGCACTTTGCAGACATGCACCACTGCTGCGATCACTAACATGTACACGACAAGGAGTACGAATCAGATTTCATCAACAATATGTGCCGCTGACATAAGCTGACATACACGGCATGATGCATATCGCGAGACGCTAGAGGACCTCGGGACAGATGTAGCCTCAGCCGCACCTGTTGCGGCGGGGTCGAAATCTGATAAACTCGCCTCCCGCCCCCAAGGATGCTTGGAAAGTCATCAGCCCTTTGAATTCTCGAACGCATCTTACTCTACATATACACTCAATCATGATCTTTATCGACACTACGACACTGGCCCTCCACGTTCGGGATCATGCAGATCCGGATCAGAAATATGCCATCTTATCACATGTGTGGGGTCGCACCATAGATGAGGTGACTTACGAAGAAATGCTAGTGCCGCCGCAAGACCGTCCAGAAACAACACTCTCGAAGCCTGGGTACAAGAAGATCGTGGAGACGTGTAAGATGGCTTCTTCATCCCGACACAAACTCAAGTATGCATGGTGCGATACGTGCTGCATAAACAAGTCCAGTAGTGCAGAGCTCAGCGAGGCAATCAACTCCATGTTCAGGTACTATAAAGAAGCCTCAGTGTGCTTCGCCTATCTATTCGACATTGATCACACCGCCTTCTCTTTCAAGTCATCAAAATGGTTCCGTCGTGGCTGGACGCTCCAAGAGCTCATTGCGCCGAAGAACGTCGTCTTCTTCGATCAAAACTGGGAGTTTAGGGGTACCAAGGCGAGCCTAGCGGATCAGATTACGGAAATCACAGGCATTCCGGACGATATTCTCAAACACCAGATGGAGCTAAGCGAGGTGCCTGTTGCTCAGAGGTTTTCGTGGGCGTCTACGCGCAAGACTACCAGGGAAGAAGACATTGCCTATAGTCTCATGGGAATATTCGACATTAACATGGCAATGCTCTACGGAGAGGGGTCAAAAGCGTTCATCCGGTTGCAGGAACACATACTCAGCGAAACTGCCGATGACTCGCTCTTCCTTTGGAATGATGCCTTCTCGTATCACAAGCTATCAGGTCTTCTTGCTCCGTCTCCCAGCTGTTTTCGGCAAATGCGATCAATCACCCCGGAACCGGCTGTTAAGCCACGAGACTTTTACATGACGAACCGTGGCATTCGACTGAAACTAGGACTCGCCTGGGATCACGATACTGGGCTTGCTATACTACCAGTGAAACATTCGCTGGGCGCGGTCGGCAGACCTGTTGGAATTTACCTCAGAAGAGTAGGGCCCGACCTGTTCGTTCGCGCGCTACCTCAAGAGTGCCCCAGGGTCAAGTCTGAAGTGACTTACACTGAGTTCACTGCGGTCAAGTCGTTGACGGGTCCGCAAGCTTCGACGATCATGGAAAAGGTTATGCGGGTAGAGAAGCCCGCCGGTGTGCATGTCAGTCGAGTCGAACCTCGTGGCATATGGGATCCGGCTGCAAAATGGCTGCACGCAACACACACGGGCGCCATCATAGGCTATATGGAGTTCAAGAAGGATGCGTATCCCATATTCGCATTCGTGTTTTTCTTCAGGAACGGTCATTGGTCAGCTACGGTAGTAGTCGGAGACCAGTGGACCAACATACAGAAGAAGTTCCATAAGCATTACCGGGACAACCTTGAAGAGCTCCGTTACTTCGATACCATGGGCGACGCGAGGATGCAAAAGATTGAAAAGATCAAACCCGATTCAAAAGTTCTCACGTTGCACATGCGAGTTGCGAGAGGTACTGGGCGACCCCATTTGGAGATAAAGGAAGTAGACCGGAAGGCTGGCACTCATTAATTTATATTGTTGCGCAAGCGCATCTGGATTCCATGTTGCAGCAAACTACGTGTATTTACAAAGAACAGAACAAAGTTGCATGACCCGTGATCACAAGTACATGAAATCATACTCCTTCTTCAACCTTCCGAAACCAATGGTCGGCTGATAGTCCTCGACTTTGTCAGCACCAAAGTCGAAGACGGAGTAATGTCTTCGCAGGAACGGAGCGCCGATCAACGCGAAACCTTCGCTCTCGCTGCTGTCAAATGGCGGCATGCATTGGTGGCCCGGCAAGAGAAACTCGTCACCTCGAAGGGTGAATGAGACATCGTCCTCTCGGGCGCCCTCGCCAAGCGTCACAGTAATGGCCCACGAAGCGTTCAGGTGCTTACACTCCATGATCTCCTCGCCGTGGTTGGTGAGCTTGGTGTAATTCCAGCCGAGGTTGAAGTACATGGCGTCGACGATGTCGCTCGGGAAGGAGACACGTCCAGATCCAGTATCGAAAACCGCTCCACCTTGGTAGATTGACCATGTTACGTTGGCGTCTGGTTCACCACCATTCGATACGGCAGTGGTGGGAAGGTGGCCGTTGTGTATCTCAATGGTTGCGTTTGTTTCCGATACGTTCTCCGCAACGAGTACGTTGACGCTCCTTAGTGGCGCACGCCAGAGCTGGTATGGGTCCTCTTTCCTCAAGGGTGTGGAGACAACCTCGCCATCTACGTACTTGTCCTCATGGCTGCCGCCGACAGTCAGCACACCGTCTTGGGTGCCGTTACCCGCATCCTCAAAGTTCGTCCCGTAGAATAGACTGAAACGGGGTGCGTCCAGTTTTCCGTCCCACAACAATGTCTCGACCAGGGTCGACGTATTCTTTTCCGCGATGGAGGAGAAACCCAGGCCGAGGAAACCATCAGCAGTAATGAAACGCCAGCTGCTCTGGTTGGCGGACAGGAAAGTCTGGTTCCATTCTACGCTACCGTCTAGAGTGCTGAAAACGTCCTGGATAGTATCGCCGGCAACGTCGCCGCCGAGGTACGGAATCGCAGCGGGGATGTTGAGGTCGACAGATGTTGATGAAGCAGACGCATTGTATTTCTCTCGAACGTATGACGTGACCCTGCCATCAGGGCACGATTCCTCAGTGCAGTCGGTGTTGACGACGAACAGCGTTGATGATCCGGTGTCGAACAACAACCGGTGTTCCTTCGGGGGTGTTCCGATTTCGAATTTGACGCTGGCATAGCTGTTGTCGATGACGACGGGCAACTCAAGGACGGATGCCGAGACGGTCGTGGCGACGGCCAGGAGCTTCTTCATTTGGGACACCATGGTGAAGGAAGGTGTTCAGATAAGACGGAGTCGTGAGTATCAAGAGATGAGATGCTCTTGACTTGAAGGAGGAAATACTAGGCGGCATGACGGAGGTATATATTAGTACCTGCGCTCGCGCTACTCAGTAATACAGCCTGAAAATCGTATTTACAAGGATACCCACACGAAGTTTCAACGGTTCTGTCCATTGAGATTCGAGCGCGAAGACCAAAAGATGACAGTCGTGTTCTAAAATTAACAAAAGTGGTCTTCTGGAAGACTTCAACGCTAGATGAGGCTCACGGGCCGATGTGCACTGTCCGGAAAGGGGCACGCAAGGGCTGTACGAGGACTAGCTCTTGCCCATCGGCCCGGAGAGATCCACAAACGTCGGCCGTTTAGTACGGATAGGGCTGGATGGGAATTGCAAGGGAGTTTTGAGCGGATTTATGACGTGCGTGAAGTACGCAGAGAATGAAACAACGAAGATGCTCTCTACAGGATTTGACTGATCTCAAAGGAGTGTCGAGGAAAGCTAGTGCGAAGGTGCCATCGCTGCGTAATACCGACACGGAGTCCATAAGCCGAAGAATATCCGTGAGAACAAATCTCCGCAGGATCCGCTTGTTCAGGTGTGATCGTACAGACCACGCATTCTTTCTTAATGCACGAACTTGAGCTGCGCACCGTCATTTTCTTTCTTACACCTTGGACCTGATGCGTGCGATTGATCTTTCACGATGGCAACATCGTTCACGTCTGCAACGACAGAACGGAGCTCGTCGGCACCTCGTAGTGTTGGCGCCAGCCTTGCAAGTGTAAGGTCGGAACTCCCGTCGCGATGGCCTTCCTTCGTCGGCGGGCCTACAACTTGTCGGTGTCTAGCAACTCTTCTCCGTCAAGGAACGGAACATCATGGCATTGACCGTTACTCTTGTCGCAAGCGGCTTTCCTTGTACGAAGGAAATCCCCAAATCCTTGAGTAACTCTGGACGACGGCGAATCTGGGATCCGCACGCGATTCCGACACTACCTACCTAGGTACCGGAGCTGCCTCAGACGATTCAGCGCAGTCAAATCGAGAGACCGTCTAGTTCACGAAGGGTGACGTGTAGAAGGTAAGAATGCTGTTGGAGGTTGAGGATGCGAGACGTGAGATGCTGCCGCACGGCTTCCGCATGGCTGACTGCGGCTGGGGATCAGCTCAGCCTGATTGCATCGGTGGGTAGGCAGCACTTCAGCCTTTTGACGGTTGTCTGTTCATCTTCACAATAGACCAGAAACAAGAATTTAAAACATCTTCATCGAGCGCTATTCTATACATCAAAGTTGCGCACGTTGCGCACCTTCCCCTAAGCTTCGCAGCTCCCCAACTACGCGCGAGCATGACCAGCGGAACCCCATCCTCCGCTTTCGAGCACGACCCACTCGTCGACTCTACTACACACTTCCGCCTACTACACATTCTGCGCGGTGATTTTGGCCAGCATGTTGAATGCGAAATCTCCTCATGGCCGATCGACGATGCGCCGTCCTACTACGCGATTTCGTATACCTGGGGCGACCCAGCTGACACTACCGAAATTACCGTCAACGGCAAGCCGCTGGCTGTACGTCGGAACTGCGAATACGTTCTTCAGCAAGCTTTTGCGACAAAGGCCAGTCGATATTACTGGGTCGACGCTATTTGTATTGCGCAGACGAGTATACAGGAGAGGAATCACCAAGTCGGCATTATGGGCAAGATCTATTCGGGGGCGAAGCACGTTTTCGCTTGTGTTGGGCCACATGCAGACGATAGTGAGTATTTGATGGCAACTATCGATCAACGGCGCTCCTTTCTTGAGACTGTTCACAAATGGGGCAAGTTGAATATATATTATGATATCGTCTACACCTGTAGATACTTGGGGAATCCGATCATCGAGCATATGCGCCGGCAATTGCGATGTATTTCTACCATGCGTCCCTCGGAACGATTACGAACGAGCGAAGCATTCGTCTCGTTCATGCGGAGGCCTTACTTCAGACGCGTATGGATATTACAGGAGTTACATCTAGCCACAAGAATATCGTATTGTTGTGGAGCGGACGTACAACAAGGCGAGTCTTTGCGAGGCTTAGACTCCCTTGTAGATTACTGGATCAACTATCACGACCTCAGGGGTCTTTCTGGATCGATAGGAAGATTCTGTAGAAAGATGATGAATAGAGGCATCCCTGACTACAAACTCTCGCATAGTCCATGGCAATTTCTGGGATCCGAATTAGATAGAACAGCACCGCACAGGGGCTGTCTACGGCTTGGTGTATCAGCGAAAAAGCAAGATCTTAATCAATTGATACATGTGCTCCAGGATTACCATTGTGTGGACGTTCGAGACAACCTGTATGGTGTCCTGTGCCTCGTAAGGTGGTCAGATGGACAGGAGCCTACCCCGGATTACACCAAAGATGACTTCGAAGTCACTAAGTACGCTATCAGCCTTTCTTCACAGGAGCGTATTCGCGGGTCCATAACTTATCAGTGTTCTCTGTTATTAGACCTCTGCCAAATCACTTCGGAACTAGCATCGTTACGCGACGCCATTGCGTTACGTTCGAGCGAGGCTCCTGAAACGGTCCTTCGACTACAAGACAATCCTGATTCTGAGAATACCAAAGTCCGGACGAGCTGGATGGGCATACGAATTATCGAAGGCAATCGAATCTCCGAGCATGCCGATGGCCGAAGGCAGAGTAACCTAAACTCATGCTATGTAGAGCATGTGCAGAACGGACACTTTGTGTTAACACGGATGGGCTCACAAATTACCATCCGTGCACATGTCGAAACGAAAGCGGGTGATTGGTGTCTGGTAGAGGATTTGTCTCCTCTTCGGAATGGTGGCTACGGGTTGATCCTCAGGGAATTGGACGATCACAAATACGTAGTAGTCGGATCAGCATTGATATATTATAAGGACGACAGATCTAGAATTATTGAAGAGGAGCAGAGTCGCTTATCACGTTTCAAGGGGTGGTCGGATCCGGAGGACCTGATGGTCCTGGCATGGATGCTGGATGAAGTCGAGGGCAAGAAACATGTTTCCGACGAAGACATCGAGAAGTTCGTCAACATGCGCATCTGTGGCTGGAAGAACTCTTCATATTTCGAAAAGGTTGTGAAAGACGTTTGAATAATAAGCGCTGGCAAAGATCTGGTAGATGCTGTACTGAGCTCCATTGGGATGTTTAGACACGTCTAAATCGACACGATGTGTAGATGCTCATAATCCTGGTATTTGATGCCCACACGTCAACCAAGAAAATGACTGAACAGGTCTGCAGCTTACATTAACATGGAAGCATGTAACGTAGATAAACTAAAGTCAGTCCAGGCTCTAACACTGTTTAGTTTTTTTCTTGTGTGAATAGCCCATTCATTGCTAATGCGGAATATCCATGCTTCGTCATAGTGCTATAGAGTTGAGACACACTCGTCATCGCTGGTTTCTATAGTGGGTTTCTAGATGTTTACAACACCTGGGCAGCCTGTTATCCGCGACAATCATCGAACATACAACTAATCGTTATGTTGTGGATGATAGCGATACATCCGGCGTCCACAAGCCTCCTCCTACTGATACATGGACTACCAAGCCGTTTGGCGCTCGCAAGAAGATAGGAAGAACCTTGTCCTGTACCATTCAAACATGTTTCTAGAACTCGTGAATTTGAGACAGTTTGTGCGGCGTGGCGCAGTTGCTGTCGCAAGCTGCCAAAGTCAATGACGTTTGACATTGTTCCAAGTTAGTGTTTGGACGGCTTGTTGTTGCAGCCGGGATCCCCACATAACGTCGCCTATGTGGAAACGACTCCGCGAACGCATCATGCGTTCAGGACAAGACGGGCAATCAGACAGGAGTTGGCTGCAGATGCGGTCATTAAAGCGGTGATATAGAAGGACCGAGCCGCATCTCCTTTTTGCGATGGGGATGACCAGGAACAGGCTAGCGCAGGAACTAGAAGTGAGGTGTTTCAAGTTGACCTACAGGGCACAACTTCGGGAAGGCGCGACCCCGAAACAGTTCACTCTCGTGCCATACGACGTTACTTTCACCACTGCACCGCCCACGACGTGCCCCTCACTGCCAGCAGCGACGCATTCATCGCCATCCCTTCGCCCTCTTGCTGTCTCGCTGTGCCGCCGTCTCGCCCTCGCTGCCGCGTCAGAGACTCGCATGTCCCCCAACGGATCTCCCTCCGCTTCACCCTCGCCCGACCCTCAGCCGCTCCTTCCTCGAAACACGCCCGGATAACGCATGCGACACCTGTAACGCCCTCATCGACCCACGTCTGCGATTCTTTGCTCTTTGTATTGTTGTATTTCCACGGCAACTGGAGTCGCGCTACGGTGACCCTGCGCCAGTCGACCCAGCCACCGATTGCGCCTCATCTCACCTAGCCATTCCTCCGAACGAAGATCCCCCAACGTTGCACGCGCAAAGAGGAATGAGCTAGGATGACGCGACCGCACATCATCAGAGCAGGTACGAAGACCGTAGAGAGCGCGCAATTGGAGGTGCGCAGGCTAACTAAAGTGCGTAGACACCATCGACCTGCAGGACAAATCATCGCCCACCGCCCAAGACCACTCCCAGCAGCCCCAACACCCTGCGCCGCTCGGTATTGGCCCAGCAGCGCCTCACCAGCAGGCTGCGATACGGCATGTAGAGCAGGAGCGCACCTCGGAGGAGGCGCGTCTGCACGATGCATGGAGCGATGCTGGCAACACGCTACGAGACGATCCCGGCTCAGACGACGACCGCACTGTCATCAATGGCAACAAGGGCTCACAGCAAGACGAGCAGGCTGTCAGGCTGAATGGTGGAACGTCCAACGACGGTGATGATGGCGACATGCAGGACGCCGACGTCGAGGAGGACATGGACGACGACATGATGGACAAGATTTCGAGTTCGCCCTCGATAGACGATGGTGGGTATTCTTTACCTTGTTCCCCCACGACCTGGTCGGCAAGACAAGAGTTTACGACTCCGCAGTCTTCGCCGTTCCTCTCAACGGTCGCTTCTTCCTCCCCATTTACGAACACGCCCATTCATTTTCCTATTTCTGTCGCCAACGCTCGAAGACCGCTCAGTGTCCCAGCGTCCGACACTTCTCCTATGTCAAGCAATCGACCTACATCGATTCCCATTTCTTTTCGATTCCCTATACCCACGGAAAACAAGTCAGCGGAGCATCATCGTGGTGAGTATTCCTGGACAAGGGCCACCAACGCACCGGACGACAGCGACACCATACGGATCGAGGTCGGTATGAGCCCGAGGACGAGACAACTCAAGGCCGTTGAACGCCGTATTGAGATGAGAGAAGACTCACAGGCATCACTAATCTCCGAACTGGACGAGGAGCAGGTCAAAAGCATGTTGAAACCGATCAACCGCGCACTTCTGGACACGCCGGACGATCCGTTCCAAGAACCCGGCCCAGGTCCACCTCGAGGGACGAGCAGCACCCCTTCTCCCGAAGATTGTCACTCCGAAGACGAGGAGGGCTCTTGGACCACCGACAGCGATGCCGACTCCTGGAACGAGGACATGGACCAAGACAACGATGATGCATCCAACGACGTCTCTTTCTCTGATGACTCCAGATTTATCGACTCAGGATGGGGAGGCGAATGCTTACGAGAAACAGAGGACATCGACTTCGAATTTGTTTACGCCCTGCACACGTTTGTCGCGACCGTCGAGGGTCAGGCAAATGCAACGAAAGGTGACACGATGGTGTTACTTGACGACAGTAACAGCTACTGGTGGCTAGTACGAGTAGTCAAGGACAACAGCATTGGTAGGCACCCGTCACCAACCTGAAGCTTTTGCTGACTGAGTCTACAGGTTACCTGCCCGCCGAACACATCGAGACACCGACAGAACGTCTGGCCCGCCTCAACAAGCACAGGAATATAGACCTCTCCGCAACGATGCTTGGTGATACTGCAGAGAAATCCAAGAACCCGCTCAAGAAGGCTATGCGACGAAGGAATGCTAAGACCGTACAATTCGCTCCACCTACCTACGTCGAAGCCTCCGACTACGACTACTCATCTGACGAGGGCGAAGGCGAGCTTTTCGGTGGCCCGGAGCCAAAGCAAATGCAACAGCAGCAGGCAACAACACAAGATGGCGAATCCGCACAGGAAGAAAACCTCGAAGTACAACCTCTCAAGGTTAACGGAGCGAAGAAGGATGGGCAGACTGATGGTGAAGCACGAGGCTCAAGCGAGGAATCTGCCAAACGAAGCGAAGACCGTGAAAGAGGTAGCGAAGATGCGGTCGATCGACCTTTGGACCCCAAAGTCTCTCGGAATGGCACGCTCCGCAACACAGACTCTTTTTTCAAAGACGAAAACACCGAGACACGCAAAATCACCCTCACTCCCAACCTGCTTCGCGACGACTCCAGTACATCGACTACAGGCTCCCGCGAGCGCGGCCCCAGCCTCGAAAGTCTGGAGAAGAATGGGTTCGCGGACAAGGTCAAGGACGACAAGAAGAAGAAAGAGAAGAAGTCTGGCATGCTCAGTGGACTGTTCAAGCGCAAGGATCGTAAAGGCAAGGGCGCACAAGACTCGGTGGACAGCGACATCGAGAAGCCGGAAGAAATGGACCGCAGCTCGCCGCAATCGAAACCATCGGATGAACTCGCAGAACGACCGTCAGCTGAACAGGCAACAGCTCCAGCACCGCTAAGACAATTGAGCAAGCCCAAGGTGCATCGAAGTCAACGTAACCGAGACGATTCACCGCAAAAGACAAAGGGTATCTTGAAGACCGAGAGTCCGACTGAGTTGAGCGCCGAGCCAGATGCCATGTCGGATGGACCTGACAATCAGTCCGCCGCGCAACAATCTACGTCGACCATGCGTTTAGTTCCACCCGAACAGGATCAGGCAGACAGGCCTTCTGTAGAAGAACAGACCATGTCGCCAGACTCAACATCCGCGCCTACAGGTTCAAGAAACCCATTCAGTAGCATGATGAAGTCACCACAAGAAGGAGAGGTCAAGCGCGAGAAGGTTACCAAGGCGAAGCAGCGCGTGCAGTTGGATGATTTCGATTCAGATGAAAGCAGCGATCCTTTCGCGGATCCTGATGCTCAGGATAAGCCAGGCGAGGCTGAAAAGTCCGAGTCCGCTGGACGCCTTTCCGAGTCTCCAGTACACGTCTCTGCAGCGGACGCACAACCTTTACAGAAAGAAAGTGCTGCCGACAGAGAAAGAGAGTCTGAATCCCACCACACTCCAGGCCTGTCTACCGATAGCTCTAGCCAAGAGACCAGCTCCCCCATTTCGACGCCTACGCCTGACGACAGCCCTATGAAAACCATTCCAGAGAACAACACGATTTCGACTTTCAGATCTGACAACACTTCCTCACCCACGCATCATGCATCCGAACCGGCCGGTCCTCCACCTTCAAGACCCGCACCAATCCCTACTAAGGATCGCGAACCATCGCCGCCCGTATCCTCAGAAAGTACAATGCTTCCTGCATGGTCTGACGCCTCACTCCGCGCCTACCTCGATGACGGTAGCGAGATTCGAGATATGCTCGTCGTTATCAACGACACTACGGGTGTTGTACCTGTTGGTCGCGACCATCCACTGATGAAGGACTATCTCTCCGAGGAGACAAAGACCATGCAAGGCCTGAGTGGCGAACTAGATCGTCTGCTCAACGGGCTTATGGAGAAGCGCATGAAGCGAGCCGGAAGTGGTGCTAGCACCGCACGAAGCACAAGCGCAAACGGGAGTTTGAGGGCGGGGTCAAGATTCTAGACGCTCGTTCGTTGTGAGTTACATTATTTGCTTTTTCAGTATACCCTAGGGGCTTATTTCCTCTATCTTCAATCGGCGTTCTGGGGATTGTGGGACGCATTATGTGGAACGAAATCTTGGGAGAACTTTGGTTTTTTGGGCTGGGGTTCTACTTTCTTGTTCGCTTCTTTATACCTTTGCTTGTCATCCCCCCATTTTACATCTCTGTTTTCTTCCGGCCTGCATCATTCGCTCGCTCGCTGCGCGGAATATGTATCCTTATAGGAGCCCTGGTGGTGGCTGGTTTATATCTTCGCTACTGTCTCTAATACCCCTCTTGATTGCTCTGACATA